TGCATTTTTGGTTATTGATATTCAATTATTCTGGCACCAGAGGGTTTCTTTCCATTTATATAAGTTGTATTTAACTATTTCAGTGATATTTTGTAGTGTTTAGTGCATAGGTTTTCCTTATTTTACCAGTTTTATCGGTATTTCAAAGGTTGATGTAGTTGTAAATATTTTTAAAATTTTAATTTGATTGTTTATTGCTGGTATGATATTTTTCCAGCCTGGAGCATGGGAATGGACACACTTCCTGGCACTGTGTGAACACCAGGCATGGTTTCCTCTATTTCTTTTAGGTTTTTTTCCCCCCTTGGTCTTAGGTAGTTTCCTAGCACACATGCCCTGTTCATGACTCTGCTAAATACCCAACACGGGATCTCTGCAGATCTCCACGTTTCTTTTCCTGTGCTTTTATCTCCTCTCCGGTGTTCTTTCCTATGATCTTTGTCTGCCTTGTTTTTACCAGACTCTCAGCTTCATCACTTCAACTCAGGGAGTCTGGGAGACTCTACCTGAGGTTTTTCCTCCCTTAGTCATGGCCTGGAAAGTGTGTCGAGGAGAGAGCTGGGGCATTCATAAGGCTTACTTCACTTGTTTCCTTTCTTTCCGGGATCATGGACTCCATTGCTTGAAGTCCATTGTCTTGAAAATCATTAATGTGCCTTGTCTGTGTTGTATTGGTTGTTTCAGGTCAGAAGGTCAATCAGCACCTGTTACTCCAACTTGGCTGGAAGCGGATTGCAGTGGAGCTTCAGTAGGGGCTGTAGATTGTCTGGAATGCTTTCCTTCTCCCTTTGCTCAACTGCCTCCTTTCCATCCTGTTTTTCAGTGTTGCCATTTCTTCCTCAGAGACAGTTCGCTGGGCTCAGTGTGGATCAGTTTTTCTTATGTGCTCATAGAACTCTGTTTTCTTGTAGCATCTATCTGAATTATAGTTGTCACTTATTTTCTTTGTTCTTCACCATACTTGAAGCATTTAAATAAGAAGAGAGGTCGTATCTGTTTTGTCTTCAGAGCTGAGTAGAAGGTCCTCCACATTGCAGGCCCTCAGTATATATTTGTTCATTGTATGAATGAGTGAATGTTACATGTGCAGTCCTTTATATCCGACAAGTACTCATACATTTTATGTCTTTCTTGTTTTCTCCCTAATACAGATTCTGTTAGCCTATTGAAAATGCCAGATGCCATTCTTTCATGGGAAAGATTAGTAGAACTTAAAAACAATCCCTGTGAAAGACTTACAATACAAATTAAAAAAATGGAAAACAAGATTAGCGTTCTGCAAGATGAGCTGTGTGAAACCAAAAAAATAAAGTCACAGTTAGAGCATGAAAAAGCTATATGGGAATGTGAACTCTCTACTTTGAGGTATGACATCCTAGTTTTAAAGAAATGGTTGTATGTACTGTTTACTTCACACTAAAGATCTACAGGAGAATTTGAGTAATGTGGAACATAATTACTGATGAGTTTCTTCAACATCACTCTCTCATACAGAGATACAGTGAATTCAAAGTTCTGTGTTAAAATACATATGATCCTATATTGTTTAATTAAATATTAGATCTTCTCTTGTTCCAAAGCAGATTTTAAAATTGTTTATAAAATATATAATAATGAGAAAGATAAATTGAACATGTTACCAAACAAAGAAATGGAAAAGGTGTGGGATAATAGATATTAGCCTCCTTAGGCTGTTCTTGGATCATAGTAATCTGTAGATACATATTTTGTGAAAGACATGTGAAGGTGCTATCCTACACGGTACATTACTGTTAGGGATACCTGCAATATTTCATGAAGTCGACAATTTATTTCTATTGAATGTGTAAGCTTGTTTTAAAATTTAGTTAACTCTAAATGATCTGCCCTAATTGAGGAGTAGTTATGACTGTGTGAAAAAAAGGAAATTTTCAACTTGTATCTTTACTGAATCATTGCCAGTATTCTTTTCCATAATATTTACCAGAGGTACTAGTAACAGAAACTTACCAAATAGCAGATAGTTCTTTCATCAGTATTTTTCAAGTGTATATCCTTTGGAAGAGATTGAAGTGAGAAATTAAAAACCTGAGAAGTAGAAAAAATACTCGAGAGCATGGGAAATTTATTAGGATAATAGACCAACGTATGAAGAGGCAGATCATAAAGTGAACTTTGTATTTTCTAAAAAAACTAATTTTAAAAGATAAGCATATTTAACTGCAGAAGTATCTTAAAAGAAGAAGGAGAGAAGAGAAGAAATGCTGACATGTTATATGAAAACACTCGGGAGGAGTTAAGAAGAAAAGAAGAGGAATACAGGAAAGAAGTTGAAGTGAAACAACAACTTGAACAGTCATTGAAGTCACTGAATACAGAAATGAGCATATTAAGAAATTATTTGTCTGAGGTAAATTAATCTTTGGTAAAAATTTTATATTTTTAACTTTATGTCAACAATATTACTTACATCAATTTGATTAAATATGTTACGTAGGTTTAAAACACAACAAAAATGTTATCTTAAAAATGAAGTATGATATTTTTAGCTAAAATTATTTATTATAAACATTGGCATCTAATAGGTGCTCAGTATATGTTTTCTGCATGAAGCAATGGAGGGAAAGTTGAGTTTAATCACTAACAAAAATATTAATTTAGGCATTTTTA